AGAGAGAGAGAGAGAGAGAGAGAGAGAGAGAGAGAGAGAGAGTGAATCTTTGCACTAGAACATGAGAAGATACACCGCCATATTTTTTTACTACAAAACACAAAAAGTATGGTGGTGTATCTTCCCATGTTCTAGAGGAAGATTCATTCTTCTTCCCATGTTCTAGAGGAAGATTCATTCTTCTTCCCATGTTCTAGAGGAAGATTCATTCTTATTTTTCATGCCTTCCTCCTGTCGGGATCAGGGACAGGTGAACCACATGCACAATGAGAATGAATCTTCCTCTAGAACATGGGAAGATACATCGCCATATATTTTTGTCTTTTGTGCATGTGTCCAGTAGTGGAGATAGGCCCATGGCTCTCTCTCTCTCTCTCTCTCTCTCTCTCTCTCTCTCTCTCTCTCTCTCTCTCTCTCACACACACACACACACACACACACACACACACAAACGCACACACACAGAGGCACAGCTGTTTTTTTTTTTTTTTTTTTTGCGCACGTGCATTTGCACCACTCTCTCGCGCATGGCGCACAGCGCCCGCGCCGCACTGCGCACCGTACCAGTGCGCCGCAACTATGGTAATACCTGACGCATTATCCACTCTATTATCTGCAGTATTACGGGGGGTAATACCTGATTATACAGTGTATTATCAATCCATTATATTATCTGCAGTAGTATCGGCAGGTAAATACCTGATAATACAGTGTATTATCCACTGTATTATCTGCAGTAGTATTGGCAGTATTATCCACCGTATTATCAACAATATTATCTGCAGTACTATAGGCAGTATTACCCGCCGTATCATCCACTGTCTTATCTGCAGTATTATCTGCGGTATTACTGCGGGTTACACGCTGCAGTATTACCGGATGCATTATCTGCAGTACTATCCACATCTATAGGTGTATGGTCTTCAGACACCTGGAAGGTTGTGGCATACTGCGCAGCCACACGGGCCTGCAGGGCCCGACCAGACGGAAAATAAGGGCCCTACAGGCCCTGTGTCGTTTCAGCCTGAAAGCCTGAAAACGAGGACCATTTGCAGGCCCTCATAAAGTCGACCTGCCCTGAAACTCAGGCACCAGACCAGGGTTTAGTACAGGCCATTTTTGGGCCTGTTTCAAGACAACCTTTGTTTGAACTTCAACGCCAGGGTCTGGCACATTTCGGCATTGGCAAGAGCAGCCTCCCTGCCGGACCAGCACTATATAGTACTGGTCCGCCAGGCACTTCACAGGTAGTCACAAGGTAGTTCATAGGGACTTCCCAGGCACTTCACGTGTGGGAGGAAGGAGGCAGTCTTCAGGATTCGGCAGCAGCACTCTGGAGGAGCGCTGAAGTAGTTGTAGTAGCGTTAGGAGTAGTCTTCAGCGCGGGGCGCTAGTAGGAGCTAGAGTAGTGTTGGAGAGAGAGAGAGAGAGTTGGCGGCGGCCAGGGGGGCTTACCTGTGGCGCCATAGCTCCAGCTTTGTCTTCGAGGCGCCACCTTCACAGGTTAGTACTTGGTACAAGAGAGAGAGAGAGAGAGAGAGAGAGAG